AAGTGTAAGAAAATACACTAACTCTTTACTAAATCACTATGACACTGAGTATCTTGTTGTAAGAAATCTGGAGGAAATGAGTCCCAGGGTTAATTTGAAGACTTAATGAATGATGTCCTCAATGGCACTATCTTGGAGTCACATTTCTTAGCTGCAGACATTCAAATCCACTCTAGTTAATTTAAGAAGGAAAGGCCTATTAAAGCATAGTAAATAGTTCATAGAGTTTCTTGGAAAGCCAGGAAACAGTCTTTTTAACCAGGAACAATGCAATTAGGGCAACGGCCTCTAGAGGACAATGCGCAATGAAACCACAGGGCCATTATTGATGAAGTGCGCCTATGATTACCACCTACCTTGCAGCAGCTATAATTCCAGAGCCCCACCTGAGCTGATTCCTGAGAACCAGATTCTTTCACCCCCGTGGATGCCAGGATATCAGCCATAGTGATCACATACACAATCCAAATCTAACACCATTAAATCTACTTGATAAAACCAAGGTCACATGCCTCTAGCCCGGCTGCAATAGAATTTTTGATATGTAACTTTTAGAGTTTTGAAAGTGGGGCCACATGCTTACCTCAGGACCAGTTACTGGCAAAGGTTGTGATTCGTTCTTAAGGGCTGATATTTTCTGTCCATCAAAACTGAAATTTCCTGTCTGGTTGCGGTGGATCATGCCTGTAATGCCAGCATTTTGGGATGCAGAGGAGAGCAGATCACTTGAGGCCAGGAGTTTGAGACCAGCTGGCCAACATGGCAAAATCCCATGTCTGCTAAAAATACAAATATGTTAGCTAGGTATAGTGGCGCATACCTGTAGTCCCAGCTACTTGGGAGGCTGAGGCACGAGAATTGCTTGAACCCGGGAGGTGGATGTTGCAGTGAGCCGAGATCATGCCACTGCACTCCAGTCTGGGTGACAGAGTGAGACTTTAAAAAAAAAAAAAAAAAAAAAAAACCTGAAATTTTCTTAGTAAGAAAGGGATGAAGAGGAAGGTTATTGGATATGTAAACACTGTTTGTTAAATTCAAATAACTGGGTGCTAACAATGCCAGACACTGTTCTAGTTGTTTGGAATACATCAGTAAACAAAATGAAAATTATTCTTGCCCTGAAGGAGCTTATATTACAGTTGTGTGTGTGCCGGGGTGGGCGACAGACATTATTGATGAAGTATATGATATTGATAACATGTCATGCTAGAATGTGATAAATGATTTGGAAAAGAGAAATATTAGAGCAGGGGATTGGAAGTATAGGGGTTGGAGATGGAGGAAGAATCAAGCTATGAAGCAGGTATTCAGGAAGGACTTCTTGAAACGTGAGATCTCAGCGAAGGCTTGAAGGAGGAAAGGAAGAGAGCCGCATGACTATGTGAGGAGCAGCTCTCTGGGCTCTCTTGAAGGCCCTATGGGAGGAGTGCTGTGGCATATGAAAGGGACAAGAAGGAGGTCATTGTAGCTAGAGAGAAGCAAATGAGGGGAGAGTGATAGGAGATGAGCTCAGGGAAGGAGTGAGGAGCAGGATTAAGTGGGGCCTGAGGCTCTTTGAAGGACCCTAGTTTTTAAACTGAATGCAATGGAGAGTCACTGCAGGCTTTTGAGCAGAAGAGGAACATGATCTGAATGTTAAGAGGATCACTCTGACTGCTGTGTTGCCAATAGATGGTTGGAGGCAAGGGAAGAAACAGGGGCACCTATTAGGAAATGAATACAGAGACAAAGATGATAGGATCAGGGAGAGAAAGTGGAGGGTGGCGAGCTGTGGTTGAGTTTTGCATGTGTTGTTAAGGCAGAGCCAGCAGATCTGCTGAGGGGAGGGATGTGAGCTGGGAAGGAAAGAGCACAGGTTTTTGTTGTGAGCAACTGAAAGGGTGGGGCTGTCAACAACTGTCATTGGCTGGGATGGGAAAGCTGTGACTGGAACAGATTTGGGGGAGATGGTGACTGCATTCAATTTTGGAGAGGTGAGCTAAGAGGTATCTTATAGGCTGTTGGGTATGCTTACTATTTGGGTGAAAAGTATGGGTTACAGATATAAATGATCTAGAAACAGTAGCAGTTGGTGCCAACTTTTCTTTTAAATGAGAGGAGCAGTTTTTGTTTTTGTTTTTTTTTCTGCCTGGTACAAGGCCTCCAAACTAAGAAAATCATTTGATACTTTCCAAAAGCAACTGTACTTTCAGACATTGAAATTGATTTGTATTTTGAGAGATCTAATCAAGATAAAGGAACTAAATTATAACAAAGAATTGTTAACAGCACTAAAGATCCTTCATATATTTGTTCTTTATTCTTTTGTCTTCCATCTGAGTTTCGAGGGGAGGCAGGATGTTGTAGTGTTAAGGGTGTGAGCTCTGGCATGAGACAGAGCAGGGTTAGAGTCCAGGTTCCACCGTGTAAGAAGTGTGTGGCCTGGGCAAATTATTTAACTTCTATGAACTTCAAGGTCGGGAGTATTTATAGCACCTACTGTCATTAATGTTTTTTAAATAATATTTTTACTTAGCACCTATCAGTATGCCTGGCAATTCATTCATTCAGTAGATAATGATGCCTACCTATCATGTGCCAGGCACTGTGCTAGGTAATGAACATACAACTATAAATAACACAGACTATCCTTGGCCTTCTGGACATAACTGTTCAGGAAGCAAGCAATTTTTCAAAGAAGAAACTGGAATGTCCAGTAAGCTTGTGAGAACCTGCTCACTCTCACTGATGTTTGTGGTAGGGTGGATGCAAATTAAACTCACAGTGAGATATCACTTCACATCCATTAGCATGGGAAAAAAAGTAACAATTCCAAAGTTTGTTGAGGGCAATGGTGGAAACGAGATCTTTTTCAGTGAAGGTAGGAATTCAAATAGTGCAACCACTTCAGAGATCAACTTGACAATATTAGTGAAGTGGAAAACACATGTCCTCTACCACCCAAAATTTCCACTGCAGGACTGTGCACCAGAGAAACTCTTACACATGCACTCAGGGTGACATTCACAGGGTATTCACTGCAGCACTTGTAGTGCTAGCAAAAAAGTGGAAGCAACCTAAATGTCCATCAGTGGGGGATTCGAACAACAGAATAATATTCAGAGGTTAAAAATGAATGGACTACATAGGTCAATGTGGAACGATTTCCAAAAATACAACAAAAAGTAAGTGGAAGATATATGATTATTTGTCTGATTAAAACATCCCACAAAATAGTGTATTATTATACAGTAAAACGTTAAAATATACAAGGAAAGGAGGAAAAAGATGAATGCAACTGGAACGAGGAGGGAAGGTTTAGCTGCACCCGTGATGATTTATTTCTTAAAAAAAAGAAACAAACATGACAAAATGTGCCTATTAAATCCAAGGACTTACACAAGTAGCTGATATTTTATGTATTTTTCTGTATGATTAAAATATTTCATAATCAAACATTAAAAAATTCTTTTTTCTGTGGCAAAATATACATAATATGAAAGTTACCATTTTAACCATTTTAAGTGTGCAGTTCGGTAGTATTAAAGCACATTCACATTGTTGTATGCTATCACTATAATCCATCTCCAGAACTTCTTTCATCTTCCTAAACTAAATCTCTGCATCCATTAAACACTATTTCCCTGATATGGTTTGGCTCTGTGTCCCCACCCAACTCTCATCTTGTAGCTCCCATAATTCTAAAGTGTTGTGGGAGGGACCCAGTGGGAGATAATTAAATCACAAGGGTGGCTCTTCCTTGTGCTATTCTCATGATAGTGAGTCTCACAAGATCTGATGGTTTTTAAAAGCAGAAGCTTCCCTGCACAAGCTCTCTTTGCCTGCTGCCTCCATGTAAGATGTGATGTGCTCCTCCTTGCCTTCCACCATGATTGTGAGGCCTCCCTAGCCACGTGGAACTGTAAGTCCAATAAACCTCTTTCTTTTGTAAATTGTGCAGTCTCAGTTATATCTTTATCAGCAGTGTGAAAACGGACTAATACGTTCCCCATTCCTCCCTCTTTCTAGACCCTGACAACAACCATTCTACTTTGTGTCTGTATGAATTCAACTACTCTGCATATCTCGAATAAGTGGAATCATACTATATTTGTCCTTTTGTGACCGTTTTATTCACTTAGCATAATATCCTCAAGGTTCATCCACATTGTATCATGTGTTAGAATTTCTTTCCTTCTTAAGGATGAATAATGTAGCATTGAATGTATATGCATAAACAGATTTTGTTTATCCATTTATCTGTTGACAGACACTTGCACTGCTTCTTCCTTTTGGGTGACATAATTTCACATTTTGGGTGGCAAAATTAAAAAATTCAAATAAAAATAAAGTAAAATGACAGGAAAGTTCTAGAGGCAAAAATAAAATGTGTGTCACATACGTGAGTGTGGTGTGTTGTGTGTTTTACAGTTGAGGAGGAGTCTCCTTGTCCCTCACATGGCACGGTGGCATAGACCATTCACGCCAGCCGGCTGTATCCCCTGTCAGAGGCAGGGCTGGCTGTGGGTGGCAGCTGCACTCTGCCACCTGGGCTTCTACATCCACTCCTTGGGCCGCTGCTCCCACAACATGTGATGTTCTGGCTTAAGCCAAACAGCTTCCTTCTTCCTTCTTGTTGAAACTGGCAGAAACCAAGAAAGAAAGCAGTCTCAGGCAGTTGGCAAGTAGTAAGTATTTGGACTGAGAAGTATTTGGAAGCTTTGTGCTGGCACGCCAATTGCATTGAGGCAGCCCCAGCCCCACCAATTCTTGCTCACAGTCCCCATGCTTTTTGGCCTCATGCCTCATCACTACTGCTCCCCTGAGTGCTTCCAGATGCCCTCCACCAGGGGCTTCTCAGACTGAGAGCTTTAGACTGCTGCCTCCCTACCAATGCTACTCAGAACCACAACGTGTTACATAAAACAGAGAAAAGCGGAGCTGCCCTGTGGGGTTAAGGGGCGGGAGCAGGGTAGATGTGAGGCTGTGGATCCAAACCCCAGTGCAGCTCCAGGGAAGCCCCATTTGAAAATAGCCGCGTAAGGCTAGTGATTAGAAACGCCAGCTCTAAAGCACAGGGAAGAAGAGGAGGATTGTAATCTGGAGAGGGTCAAGCTCTTCTAGGCAAGGCCAACCAGCTATTGTGATTAAAGTAAGTGTGTGTGTGTGTGTGTGTGTGTGTGTGTGTGTGAAGGGTGTGATATCGAACTGCTGGAGCTCCCCCTGCATTGCCACAGCAGCTTTTTTTTTTTTTTTTAGATATGTCCTCCAGAACCTTAGGGCTCCTCAGGGCACAATTTGAAAATCACAGAATTGTCTAGTCTCTTTTAATCCTGATACTCTGCAGACTGTTATCATTCCCACACAACGAAAGGTGAATCTGAGGCCAAAGCCCCACAGGTAGGAAGTGGCTGAGTCAGGAATGCTCCTTCCAAAGACAACTTTATTATCCTTCAGTAGAGATGCATACACTGCGGCAGCTTGAAGTAGGGAGGCTTCTGGAAACTGTGGGGATGAACCAAAAATGAATCCTTTCCCATGCTGGGGAAGCCCACTCTGGCACAGAAACAAAACAAATTATAGCTGTTGGGGAAACAGGCCAAACACGGCTGACTGAGCCAGAAGTGGGGTTATTGCTCATCTCCTGGGATCCCACTGCGTGTAGGTCTCTTGTCCTCCCCACACCGAGCTCCGGGTCTCCTCACTCGCATGCCAGCTGGGAGGCCCACAGGCTGCCAGGCGTCTGGTAGAAACACACCAGAGCAGCCGCAGCTTCAGGTCTTCCCTCCCTGCCTTGCCGTCCAGCCCCAGGGTGAAGGAGAGGGGGCTGGCCACGGGAGAGACTAGAAAACGAAGGGAAGAAACGGAAGCTGGTTGCCACAGAAAGCGATGGTTGGTGGGACTGGTGTCATATGTCAAGTTGGAGGAGCAAAGGCCAGTGGGGAGATGGCTGTGGCCTTTGTTGAAAGGTCTGCCTGGGAGCCAGGTTTCAATTTCTGGCTCTCTTTAGACAGGACCCATTTCTCTAATAGCTCATTGAAAGGTGAGAGAAAAAGGAAAGAGCACACAAATGACCCCTTTAAAAATATGACAAAACCTAAAATGTCTTTGGAAATTTCAAGAAGTCCTCGAACAGAATCATAATTTCATTTTTATTTTTTCTTTCCCTGAGGAAATTCAGCATGGACCTGTCTCCCTCTTGTGGAATTAATTTTGCCTCTTGGTTGTACAGAGTTTACTAAAATAAAAGGAAAACTTATGGGGACTTCTTGTTACCTTATCTCTCCATTGTCTGTCTTTGTGCAAGAAAAGACAGCAGTATTGTAATTATCAAAGAAAAAACTTTACTTTTCTGAAATGAACAAGTATTTAGAAATAAACTTTTAATCTAACACTTTATAGTACCAAAATTCTGCCTGTAAAATCTAGTGCTTAAAGATTTAGTTTTACTTAATTCTTCAACATTAGACAGAATATCCTCGCCATTTTATGGTTTAGTGTCGACAAAAAGAGTCAAATTCTGTAAAATATTTGAAGACATTTATTCTGAGTCAAATATGAGTGACCATGGCCCATGACAGCCCTCAGGAGGTCCTGAGAACATGTGCCCAAGGTTGTCGGGGTGCAGCTTGGGTTTCATACATTTTCTGGGAGGCAAGAGACCAATCAAACACATTTAAGAAATACATTGGTTTGGTCCGAAAAGGCGGAATAACTCAAAGGTGGTGGGGGTTGGCGGGGGGCGGGGGGGGGGTCCAGTTAATAGGTAGATTTTAAAATTTTCTGGTTGACAATTGGTTGAGCTTATCTAGACCTGGGATCAATAGAAAGGAAATGTCTGGGTTGTAATAAGAGGTTGTGGAGATCAAAGTTTTATCATGCAGATGAAGCCTCCAGGCAGCCGGCTTCAGAGAGAATGAATTGTAAATGCTTTAATTTTTTTGAGACAGAGTCTTCCTCTGTCGCCCAGGCTGGAGTGCAGTGGCCCGATCTGGGCTCACCACAACCTCTTCCTCCCCGGTTCAAGTGATTCTCCTGCCTCAGCCTCCCGAGTAGCTGGGACTACGGGAGAAAGCCACCATGCCCAGCTAATTTTTTTTTTTTTTTTTTTGTATTTTTAGTAGAGGCAGGGTTTCACTATGTTAGCCAGGCTGGTCTTGAGCGCCTGACGCTGTGCTCTGCCTACCTCAGCCTCCCAAAGTGCTGGGATGACAGGTGTGAGCCACCGTGCCTGGCCTGTAAATGCTTCTTACCAGACTTAAGGTCTGAGTTGATGTTGATGCCGGTGAGCTATAATGAATGCTGTCCAGCCCCCACTTCCTGTCCTGGCCTGAACCAGTCTCTCAGGTTAAATTTTAAGACCACCCTGGCCGAGAAGGAAGTCCATTCAGATGGTTGGGGGGGCGGGGGGCTTATAATTTTATTTTTGGTTTACATAAGGAAGGTAAAAGAAGGGCCATGACAAAACTAAATTTATTTTTCTTCAGCCAGACTCCAAAGTTCTTTGCAGAATTGTTAGCAACAATGATACAAGACCACAACAGCTTGTTACAGAAGGTAGCTAGTCGGGCATCAGCAGGGCAAGATGGGGCATCTCTACTCATCAGGAATGTCAGGTGATCATTGGATGATGTTCAGGCAGTTGTAACACTACCTCTCTAATATAATAATTGGTTGCAGCCAGCGCTGCAGGGAGAGGCAGTTTCCCTGTACATAAAAACCCCTGAAACTGGTAATGGGCAGCTTTCGGCAATTGGGCACTGGTCTCGAGCATGCACGTTAAGAAGCAAAATGGTGGAGTACCACCTTCCCGGCTTTCCACTGGAAAAGGGAGGAAAGCCTCCGGTGAGCATGCATACAACTCCAGTAAACACGCCACGTGCTCACCTCCTAGGCGCCCCTCGCATGTGGGCAGCTCACCTTAAGGGAAGAATCAAGGGAAAAGGGGCTCACAACGCCAGAAGTGAAATGCGTATGAAATCCTAGGTTCAAGGTTAAATGGGTCAGTTGATCTCCAAGTTGCCGCTTTGGTCTCTTCCAAGTGTACTTTCCTTTCTTCTCTAAAGCTTTTTAGTAAACTTCCGCTCCTGCTCTGAAACTTGCTTCAGTCTCTTTTTCTGCCTTGTGCCCCTCAGTTGAATTCTTTCTTCTGAGGAGTCAAGAATTGAGGTTGCTACAGACCCATAGGGATTTGCCACCCGTAACGCGGATAACTTCCAGCAGTAACAAGCTGATATTTATTATCATTTGCTTTTCGCAAAGCATTAGGCCAAACACTACACCTAAATTATTGATAAGGCTCTGGTGAGTGGAGGAACACCAGGGCTCTTGTCTCAGATCGAATTAGACAAGACGATACGGACACACGTGGAGCGGTTTTAAGGAGCGGAGAATTTAACAGGCAAGAAGGATTAAGAAGGAAGGGAGAAGGAAGAAGCGCCCCTGTACAGAGACAGAAGGAGGGGGACTCCAAAGCCAAGAGAGGGAACCGCACCTGCCACAGAAACCAGTCAGGTTTATGAAGAGGCTGGAGGAGGCGATGTTTGATTTGCGTAGGGCTCAGGGGGTTGGTTTGACAAGGCATGTCATTCACGTAGCCCGTGAAAAAAATGGCCCTCCTACCCTAGCCTTCTAATATGCAAATGCAGGGCACCACGATGTTCTACATACGTGGGGATATGTGGGGGCAGCCATGTTGGCAGGCACATGTGGGGCAAGGGCAAGAAGGCTGCAGGAGTCACCATGTTGGGTGGACCCAATTTCTAACGGCTGGCATTTGCTTATGGAAGGTTGCCAGCCTGGCCATGTTGGGTGGACCCCTTCTAAGGGCCAGCATTTGTATATCAAAGGTTGCTGGCCTGGCTGTAAGAGCTGGGGCTTTACAAGAGACTTTTCCGAAGATGCTTCAAAAAATGAAAACTTTCCAAGGACCCCTTTTCCTCTCTATTTGCCTAAAATAATTTCTTAATAACTCCTACAACATTATCTTACTTTTTGCAATAAAATTACTAGTCTAATTTTACTAGGAAACTGAGGCTTAAAGAGGTTAAGCAACTTGCTTGAGGTCACATAAGCAATTGCTAAGGTTTAAGTTGGATTAATATCAATGATCCTAAATGGAGACTTAGGAACAAAGAATAACAGAAGCACATATTAAATTGCTCTCTCAAATTCTGGCCTTCAGGAGATGAGCTGAGAGAGACGTAAATAATCCATAGGTTTTTTTTTTTCCCCCTTCTGTGATATTTTGAAAAATAATCAGCCTGTATGTGGCGTGGCTTGTATTTCATAATTATTTGCAAGGTTAAATTAAACATTTAAATAGAATACTTTGGATAACACAGAGAAATTACTCATGCTACAAGACGGGCGTTGGGACTCCCCTGTTAGGAGGTGTGGAAAATGCCTCTTGTCAGGATTGTTCCATTACTGCTTCTAGCCACACCCATTCCATTGGGTGCCGGTTGCTAGTAAGACAGATATTACAAACCAGCATGATCAGGACATGACAAAGCCACATTGCTGATCCTAAAACCCCTGGGGCTAGACAACAAGAAAGGATAGGGTAACAGAGGCACATATGAAACAAGTCCGTCTTTTAAATACTTACTATGGTGTCTTTGTCAATTTCCTATAAAATGTCTTTCTGTTATCTTTGAACCAAATTTAGGTCCACATACAAGACAGAATAAAAAGATGCTGTTAGTGACCTTCATCGGACTATGGAACCTTGACCGCTTTGGTGATTCTTTTTCCCATAAATTTGGCTGTGAGTCAAAGGGAGCCATTCCTGGGACATCACCAGCTCGTCTTCTCTATAGCACTCTTCTTCTTCTGGGGACTGTTTGGTACAATGGAGAAGAAAACACAGGGTCCAGTTGTTGATTTTTCTGAGCCAAAATAGCTGTTATTAATTGCCAGGAAGGCAACGTAAACAGAGCAATTCCAGGTGGTGAAAGAGGCCTCTTTAAGCATGTAGATGAAAATGACAGCCTGGGCCAGGCGCGGTGGCTCGCACCTGTAAGCCCAGCACTTTGGGAGGCTGGGGTGGGTGGATCACTTGAGGTCAGGAGTTTGAGACCAGCCTGGCCAATTGATGAAATCTCATCTCTACTAAAAGTACAAAAATATTAGCCGGGCGAGGTGGTGGCATGTGCCTATAATCCCAGCTTTCGGGAGGCTGAGGCAGGAGAATTGCTTGAACCTGGGGGACGGAGGTTGCACTGAACTGAGATGGCACCACTGCACTCCAGCCTGAGTGAGACTCCATCTCCAAAAAGAAAAAAAAAAGAAAAAAAAAAAAAAAGAGAAAGTGGCATCCCTGAGATAGAAGTTCACATCAATTCAGTATAAATATTGTGTTAAAGCGGTTTAGTTTTAGTCAATAGGCTTGAACACAATATATCAGGAGGATGCTTTTGGCACAAGAAACAAAAAATCCAAACTCACCTGGTTTAATAAGAAGGGCAATTTATTTTTCCTAAGAAAAAATAAGTGCTCAGGCAGCTCGGTTGTTTAATTCAGAGGTGAAAGGATGTCATGAAGGATTCCATTTTTTTTTTCTGTGTGTTCACTCTGCCATCTCATCTTGGCAGTGTCATCTCCTTGCTTCCCATACTCATAGACACAAGACAGCTGGCACAGCACCAGGTGTTGTGTGCAGACATGAAAACGCTAGAAGAAGGGAGTCTCTCTTCTTTGAGCTTTTTTTTTCCTTTCAAGAGTAAAGAAACCACTTTTTAACCCCCACCCCCAACCCCGAGCAAATATTTGCTCATAGCCTATTGGTCAGAACTGGATCACATGCACATGCTTAAAATGTGCCAGCAAGGAAAATTGCACCACCACAATTGGCTTAGACCAATCAAGATTGATCCCTGAATCACATGGGAGGAGAGTAGTCTCAGGAATAAAATAAGACCTCTGACATTATTTTTAAAAAAGAGCAGAGTAGGAGATGGCCATTGTGTTGGCAATCAAAAGTACCTGTTTTATGGTTTGGGATATGTGAGTACGTGTACATATGTTTTCTTTTTTGAAAGGTCCTTTCTTTCGGGGATTCTATTTATAATCTAGACCACTTCTCAACAATTTGGAATGTAACTTGGCAGAAATAACCACCCGCAACACCTATAGGAACTTTGAATGAAACACCTCTTAGTTAAAAAAAAAAAAAAGAAAAGAAAAGAAACAAACCTCGTAAGAGTACAACTTTCTTGGCATTAGGAAATTATAAAGAATAAACAGTGTTTATTACTGACACTTTACATTCATTCTAACAATGGGCCTTCCCTAAGCAACTTTGCCAGCAGTCTCCAGACCAAAAAAGAGAAGAAAGCCCATTACATCTTTATTCCAAAATACGTGTTTTAAATAATGTTCTCTAACTATAAAAGCAATTTTATGTAATCCAAAAAATGAATATTTATCACACTACGTATGTGTGCATGTATGCATGTGTGTGTGTGTGGAGAGAGAGAGGGAGGGAGAAGGGGGCAGAGGAAGTGGGGGAGAGGACAAAGTGGGGGAAGAAGATGGTATATTGTTTAGGAAAAGTGCTTAATAAGTCTCTAATATACAGACAATGAGGCTCCAGGGAACATTTAGAAGGAAACAGCAGAGACAGTGAAATTGCCTTCCATGTGAAATGAATAAGAGTGTAGCTTTGGGAAGATAAGAGAAGGGAGGAAAGAGAGACGATGAGAGGAGAGGCGAGCAGAGCAGCCAGCCAGAAAGCTATTGCCTGAATTCAATACGAGAGATTCCTATAGTAGGGCAGGTAGAGAACTTTTACAAACAATTTCATTTGAACTTGTGTTCCTGATATGTGATCTTCTTGGATACCCCAACACTGTGTTGTCTTGCCTCATGCCCTAAGGTTTCACGAGTTTTGGGAAAATAAAAATGGCTGAATTCCACGCCTGCGTCAAGGTGGAAGAAGGGGGTCGAGAAGTGCCATGGATGATGACGTTTTCATGAGGTCAAGTTTAATAGAAGAAACCTGGTACCACAAGTGACAGTGACAAAGTACATCCCAGGATGCACAGGAATTTTGGAGACGACCTCAAGCTCCCCATGAAATTTGGAAAGGTGTGAAAACAATTGTATTTAAATCTTAAAGGCAGGAGGCATCAGCTGACACCTGGGTTGCATTGATACAATTAAAAATAAATACCTTGTCACTGCGCAGCTTTATGTACTTCCCCCCACATAGCATAAGCATTTTCATGTTTTTGAAAATATATTCTGTCTAAATCTGAATTCTTAAAAACTGTACTATGATTTATATCCTATTCCCATTCAAAGACATAAAATGAAATTTTATAGGCCTGCTACTTTGGATGATAATGGAAGATATTTGTGCAGTTGTTATAAATTCATTTGGGTAGGTTTGGACAAATATTTAATTTTTATTGTGTACCTATAAATAACTAAATGCTGAAATAGCCAATGAGTTGTCCTCTTAAATTTTAAGTAGTAAAATTGCATAAAATGTGCCAAAACCTCAAAATAAATGTAATGTGCTGAGTTTAAATGATGTAGACAATTAAAACAGATTCGTGTGGTTGTTTTCCGTCTTTAAAATTGATTTTCCTCTTACTCCTGCATTATTCTTCAACTCTTGGATGTAAGGGTGAAGACACAGACTGAGTCTTCCTTATGCCATGAGGCTAGTTTATTTCTTTGTTTATTTTAGTTTTTTATTTAAAACAGTTTTTATGGGTACACAGTGGGTGTATACATTTATGGATATGAGAGATTTTGATACAAGCATACAATGTGTAATAATCATGTAATAATCACATCAGGGTCAATGGGGTATCTAGCTTACTTCTTTGTTTTTTCAAAACTGAGTATGGATGGATTTTCCTGGCACATAAAAACTCTTCATTTGTTTTTAAGACAAAATACTGATCGTGAATATCAGCTGTTAATACAAGCAGATGCATGGACCTGTGATACCAGGTGTGAAAGCATCAAGCAGAGCACTTGGGTAGTGGAAGTAGAGATTTTTTCTTTTCATTTATTTTCATGTTCTAACTGTTCTATAATTTCAGTTATAAGACAAAATTTAAATTTTAAGGGCCCTCTTATGAAAGACTTTGCTATAATCCTATAAATAAATCAGTGTTCCTGACCTTTGACCTTTTCAACCCACTAAAAAATGCTAAGGTTGTTTAATATTTTGTATGTGTGAGATGACACTGATGAGCTTTTGCTGGAAGCCCTCTCCCTCACCCCGTCTTCTGTGTCAGTCCTGTTAATGATGTGACTTGATGTGCTGTTATCGTAACCCTGGGGAGAAAGCGCAGCTGGGCACTTCTTTCTCAGGAACAAGAGCGGCCTTCCCTAACGGCTGTAAGAAGATGTAGAGTCATCTAAGAGAAGTGTGGAGATAAAGAAACATCCTCCCTTACTCTAAACAACAATGGGTGCCTGTACGGGTGTGGGCAGCATGTATGTGCAGTGTCTTTCACTAGGGAAAATTGTAATTAGAGCCACTGTTGCTCTGGGCGATAGTGAGCCATTATTGCCCTTTTCCCAAGCTTGCAGGTGGACAGAATTACGTTGCCTTAATAATGAGCCTCTTAAGTGCCAGCTGTCATATAGCATGGCAGTCCTATATGCTAACAAAGCCTTCATTAAATGGTTTGCTCCCAATCATTTGCCTGCTCTTTTTGCCTTTCTAGCAACTGACAACTTGGCCCCTCCACCCCTGCCTCCAGACCTTCCGTGGACACGCTTAATCACTGCAAGAGCAGCCTGTGCCGTGCTTGGTGAGATGGTAATTTTTTTAATCCTACGTGTCTTCATATTATTTTTTGCCTTATTTCAAAAGTTTTTAAACGAGGTTGGTAGCTTACATTCTGAGCTATCATTCATTCCATGGCAAAATAATAATTGCTAATTTTCTTCTTCAGAGAACCAGAGCTTTATCAGGAATAACATTATGCAAATGACTATGCAAATGCCAACCAGAAGAGTACAGTATCTGGAAAAAAAGTTCAGATAAAACCTTCAGAACACATCCAAAGTTGGCTGGAAAAAAGAACTGAACATTTTAAACTATAAGGTCACCATGGTAGCAAAGGGAATTTATTACTAATAAGAATTTTGCAAGAAAGCTCTGCACTTAAAATAAAAGAGGTAGGGCATGCATTCATATTTATTCTAGCTTAATTTATTTATGACATTATGGTTGTCTTTGCCAACTGTTAAGTCCCCTTGGGGTGGGACTCTTCATCCTTTATGTGGTGTCTAATGGTTCAAAACGCTTCGTGTTCAACCTTTTGAGGCTTAAAAAAATAATCCTCTATTTTTTCTACTTTCTATATATTTTCTTATCATTAATATTTTTAACTTTCTTATGCTAAATCTTATTGGAAGAAAGTTCATGGAAATACTACAGAGAAAAATGCTCAATTTTTTCAAAACATAACTTTTAAGGTATTGGTAAAGAAATTGTGTCTTTTGGGGAGACTGAGGCGGGCAGATCACGAGGTCAGGAGTTCGAGACCAGCCTGACCAACATGGTGAAACCCTGTCTCTACTAAAAATACAAAAATTAGCTGGGCGTGGTGGCAGGTGCCTGTAATCCCAGCTACTTGGAAGGCTAAGGCAGGAAAATTGTTTGAACCCCGGAGGTGGAGGTTGCAGTGAGCTGAGATCGCACCATCGCACCCTAGCCTGGGTGACAGGGCGAGACTCACACACACACACACACACACACACACAAAAAAAAAAGAAAAAAGAAATTGTGTCTTTAAAAACTATACATTATTCCTCAGGACACACCCTTTGAAACACCTGGAAAGAAGCCTGGTTTCAGCATAAAAGGAATTCCAACACTGTTTATTTCACCTGTGTGATGTATGCATCTACTTAATGACCAAATAAAGGAAAAGTTATTATTTAGTAAGCTTTGTGGTAATAAACTGGAGGTTTTAATTTTATTCTATCTTTTTAAAAGACCAACTATTTAAATTTAAGAGAAGAGTGTTTGAAAGGCCTTCGATTTAAAATTTACCTAAGTAAAATGTATACCCAAATTTGACCAATATGATAGCCAGAGGGAAAACAAAACCCAAAGGCTGGCCAGGTGTGGTGGCTTATGCCTATAATTCCAGCACTTTGGGAGGCTGAGGTGGGCAGATCACCTGAGGTCAGGAGTTTGAGACCAGCCTGGCCAACATGGTGAAACCCCATCTCCACTAAAAATACAAAAATAGCCTGGCGTGGTGGCGCACGTCTGTAGTCTCAGCTACTCGGGAGGCTGAGGCAGGAGAATCGCTTGAACCCGGGAGGTGGAGGTTGCAGTGAGCCGAGACTGCGCCACTGCACTACAGCCTGGATGAGCGAGACTTCATCTCAAAAAAAAAAAAAAAAAAGAAAAAGAAAAAAAGAAAAAAATCCCCAAACAAACAAACAAACAAACACAAAACCCAAAGGCCCCACTTGCCCTGGCCTGAAATTCCCAACATAAAGTCCCTTTCTCTGATGCAAATCTTCTGTCAGAAGGTGTGGACACACTGGACTAGAGTCAATCAAGCTGGGCTGCCCACATCTGAATCATGGGGTGCTTACTGAAAAACGCAGATGCTTGGGCCCACCCAGCTCTGCTGAGTCAGGACCACTATGTCTGTGTGGCCTGAGATTTGCATTTTCAGCAGAATCAGCACTCTAAAGTGCTATATTATACCATGAAAAATTAGGAAGGGCTAATTTATGAGTTCCCTTATAGAGACCCCTTCAGGAAGGAGACAAAGAAGAGTTTTATAATGGGAGGGTGGGGGTAGTGGCAGCGGGAGATGGGCCTCGGGGAGAGTTCAGAGATGGAAAGGGGATCAAACATGGGAAGGATAGAAGGTGGAAGCTCTTGAAGAAAACTTCAGTGACTTAACTCCTTTGTCCAAGGCTAGACAGCCACAGAAGCTTCTGGGGTGATAGAGCTCTGTACCTTGCATCCCCAGGCTTTGGTGTCTCATGACCCTGAACAGAACCCCAGCTGCTACCCACGTTAATTAAAAACTCTGAACCTCAGCTTCCCATCTGAACTGGGTATAAAGCAGAGCTTTGATGAGGATTAAAAGTAACTGAACCAGGAAGGTAATTTAACATGATGGTTAAGGGTGTGGTTTTGGAGGTGGGCTTCCAGGCTTCATGTCCCAGCTCCAGCATTTACTACTTGCGTGACCTTGGCAGGTTATTTAAACTGTCTGCACCTCAGTTTCCTCATCTATTTACTGGTGCTAAAACATTAATATATAGCCTTTAGGGTAGTTGGGGGGAGTAGGCATTAAATGAGAAAATACATGTTACAAATCTGTGACAGTACCTAGCATATAATGAGCAACTCAATAAATGTTACCACCTCTCATCATTATTTCATATATCAAGCAGCTGGCACCTGGTGGGAATTTAATAAATGATAGCTATTATTAGTAGAAATAATCACTCCTGGCTTCAAGACAGGCCAAAACCCTCTTTATTGCCAAAACCCTATGACACAGTCCTGGCTGAGTCCCCATGCCTTGTTCGTAGTCTGTCATGACAATGCCATTGAGGTTATTTGGGATAACATGTGGCCAGGAGAGTTATTGTGCAGTGGTATACGCACATATAATTGAGCAGAGAGGTTTCTGAATGTTTTATGAAGGTGTGTGGGTGGAGGGGTCAATTGCCCTGGGGAAGCTGCAGGAGCCTCTCTCCCTCCTTCTGCTTGGAGAACCTGGTAGCTGTGGCAACAGCAACAGCAGAGAGATGGATCTTTCGGGAAGTAATGGACACACTAGAAAAATATTTGGAAATCCATGACCTGTACTCATTTGATTCAAAGCCTATCACATTCCCTCAGGAATCTGTTGTTGTTATTTGCCTGTTCACCACAGCAAAGATTACTTCTTTTTCAAGACTTGAAACAATGATCATATATGTATATTTTTCCCGATGGGCACCGTGTTTTAATCCCTCTGTTCTTAAAATTTACCAATTTGTATTTGCTGCCCAGTTCTTTATCCTTTGTTGCCACATAAATCCTGCAATCTTGGTAGAAAAATAAAGAATGCAGGAGAGCAGTTTGACCTTTGCTCCTTGCTGGGCATTGGTGTCATTTATAGTTATTAGGGTGGGGACAGAACGGAACTCATTGATGGCTGAGCGGATGGGGAGAGAACGGGGAATGGGGAAGTGGGCAAAGGAAAGAGAGAGGGAGGAGAGCACAGATTACCACAAGAATCTCATGTTGTGCTTTCACTTTGGGCAAATATGACACTACTAGTCCTTTGTGGGAGCTTGAAAAGGCACATAGGGGAAGGAAGTCTCTGGAATAAACACTATGACCTTGGCTGCCATGGCTCTACTAATTTGGTTTTGCAGAACTGAAATAAATGGATGCTAGTGAATTTGCATCAATTCCATTTAAGGCTTTAAAAAGACATATGGATAACATTATTGGCTAGAAACCCTTAAGAAAACTAAGGTAAATTCTTCTCATGGCTCAAGCTAAGTCTTATAGCGGTTAAAAATTGAAAGCCTTAGGCTGAAAAGCTGAAGGTCTCTATGTTACCATTGCTAAACCATTGGTTTACT